AAAAATGTTTTAAAATACCTGAGACTGGTAGCTGCCTTTTCTTGCACTCATTTTTCAACTCTTGAACCTTATAGTCACTCAATCGTCGGATGGTAACCTAAAGTATATTTCCCTGGTTAGTTGCTTGAAAAATTTTTAACAAGCCGAACAGACCTGATTGTTAGGAGAGGTCGTAGCAGGACTTGCTGTTTGCATGTCATACATTTGCATTTGAGTATCCTGAATCAGAAAATCAAAAACGAACATAAAAAGTATGAAAAGTATAGGCTACTTGTGTATGAGATGGATTTTCATCATTATGCTGCCACTGCAGGAATAATTTCTGCTGTTGTAATAACAACTCATAGTTGTTCTGCTCGGAATTTCTGGGGGTCTGAAGAAAATTTGAGGATTCTTGTAGATGTTTAGCATGAAGAATAGGATCAAACACGGTAGTCTAGCCTACTTGCTCTGCAGGAGACCGGACTTCTCCTATCACTGTCACTTCGTCGTCCTCTTTGCTGTCTGGAGCTTTAGTTTTCGCTCGTAAAGGTAACGGATCACATTGTTTGTAAGGCGTTGACTTCTTAAATATAATAAAATTCGCAAAAGTGGTACTGGCAAAGTGCTAGCTAGATCTGTGGTGCTCGAAGAGATTGAAGTCAAAATTTTTATAAAACTGAAGAAATCTTTTTATTTGCAATGGACCTTCCGGATAATCCCTTTGTTTGAGAGGACATTAACGGGCTTATTCTGTGTACGAATCGCTGCTTGAGAAACGATTTCCATGTCTGAAATGCATGGATAAAGAAAACTAAAATATTGTTGAGCATCTAACAACATGAGGTCAAAGGTTCTCAGTACTTTGCAATGCACTATGGGATCTTCGCCGCACGTGAGCTTGCCGATTTTAAAAGATTGTTCTTTAGTGATCTGGGAATAAACTATACACCTGACTGTGCAAATCGCAAAAATTAATTGCTTAGAGCACATTCACACTTGCAGATACATTACACTAAGACCAAGGCTCACATCAGATTTTCATTTTGAAGTTGTTCAGTCACGTATGCTTCGATTTGGAATAGAAGCGTTCACTAACCTGTCGACAATGGACTTGGCATTTCGCTCTCTTCTTCTTCAACGTATTCGCTTGTTGGTTGAAATAGAACACGGCCTTCTATAAATTTCAATCTTAGGTTTTGTAGAAGAATCATTTGTCTCGTATTTAAGTACAAGAAAGTAAGCATATGAAAAAAAGATGAATGCGTGAAGAACAAGAAATCGGCTTGCTCTTTCGCTTTGGTGTCGTGTTGACAATCTCAAGTTCCGGTTTGTTCTTTCCGCATATTTGTTAAGTACTGCACTCTTGTAATTCG